GAAATGTCACTTCCATCCCTCTTCCACCTCGTATATATTTTATCTTTAATTTTAAATTTTATTGAATATTTATTCTCAACTAAAGATTTCATTTATCGATCAGATTTTCTTAATTTTTATTTATTTATTTATTTAATCATAAGCAAGCCGTAATCAATAATAATAGATATTATTTCAGGCTCTTGTCAAGCAATTTTTCAGACCGCATTAACTTATCAAACAAAAAATAATATAGATATGATGATAACCATTTGAATTAAATCTATATAATATCTTTTGCCGTTTACAGGAACTAAAATACCCAAAGACTTTCGAAGTCCGTCAACCCAATCGTTTTTCATAGAAATGATGGTTGAGGTAATAATTTTTTGCCAATCGAACTCTATGGCACCCAAAAAGGGCTTCTTCTTGACGAGAATATACATGACCACTCATCGATACTTTGTAGCCGACCCATGGCGTATACCGGCGGATGTTTATGCTTATTTTCGTGAATTGTTGTTTAGACATGCTGTTCAGGTAACTTTATATTCAGTATATTTTATGTATGCTATTTATTCTTAATGGAATGTTATGACGAGTTTCACAATATATACAACACATCAATACAGTACATCAGTTAGGTGCAAAAACTGTCTCAACCATGCGAAAAATTCATACTTCTCTTTAAAGAAAAAAGTAGACAATTGAATTTTCATGTAATATTATATTTTATTCAGTAGATACTCAACGAAATAAAAGGAAGGAATATTACTTTGGGATACTTCCACATGCTTTAATGCTTAATCCAGAGTCATTTGATTTTTCAACTGTTCTGTTACCATTAGTTTTGGCATTATTCTGGAATTTGTTCCCATAACACTTTACGTGATGATTTTAATGAATCGAACTTGTTTAAAAAAGACATTTTATAGTAAAACCATAAAATATCTATTGAATCAAGGCTGGAAGCTGTGCAGATCACTGTACAGCCCGGTGCACACGACGCCAGATTTCCTGATTAGTCCTGATGAAAATTTAGTAAAAATTTTATGTAAATTTAATACCCTACGGGAAGTTAATTGGAAATAAAGGAAATCTGTCTGGCAAGATCGTAAATATGATTTATCATATCGTTGCTAGGTAACAAACTGTCCGGCATAGTTTGTTACCTAGCAACGATATGATAAATCATATTTTACGATCTTGCCAGACAGATTTCCTTTATTTCCAATTAACTTCCCGTAGGGTATTAAATTTACATAAAATTTTTACTAAATTTTCATAACCTTTTTAATATTTTTCTAACAATATTAATTATCCGATAAAGATATTGATTTTAAATCTCAATAATTGTCATGTTAAACTGCAGCATTTTATTATCTTTTTATTATTATTATTTTATTTAATTCTCAGAAATATGAGATTGAATCATCTTATGAATTCATACTAATCGGATACGATATATATTTGTGTATACATATATTTGTATAAATTTCATACTGTGCTCTGTTTAGACACTATGAGCATTAGAGCATTTTAGGCCTATAAAATATGAACTGTGAAATTCACAGTGTATATTTGAAAATGCACAAAATTATTATTAATCGTAAAATAAGTGAAAATCTGGCGCAAAATTCTTGCTCACCTTACCAGAAAACTTGACAGAAATCCTGTTACAAGAAATATTGGTGTGCACCGGGCTTTTAAAACTTGAAATTTCAATTTTCATTGACTGACTCACTGCAATTTTGCAGTGTTCTTGGGTTTATTGGACTGGAAAACTATTGCATTTTTAGCTACCGGCATATTTTCTATAATTTTGATTAAATTTGTAAGATATCATAATATATTTTTTTTCTTTAAAATACTGATACGGAAATACGCTAATTGAAGACGTGATAGTCAGATTGGGGCAAAACGGTTCGAGATTTTTCGAGCCGAATAATACCAACGTTCCATACCAGCATTTGTATAGTTATTATAAAATATTGCAGTCATTTATATGAACACACTTAAGTTTTAATGATATTCATTTGTTAGTTCAAAATATTGACAAACTAGTGGGGTATATGGCATCGTGCCTTAAGGCAAATTGCTGGTACTTCTCGTACCGTAACGAAATGTTCGAGAAATATTGAATGTTTTCAAATAGATTTTTATAAATATTGTAACATTGTCTAATATTTATAAGAATTATATAAACTGAATTGCAAAGTTAAACATATTTGTTTAAAGTATATTAAAACTTTAGTCAGAATTACGATTAAAATCTGAATTATTTTCGATATACAAAACAAAAAATTGATTTGAAAAAAAATATTTTTGAAACAATTTTTTTTTTCCAAAATCAATTATTTTGTTGAAACAAGCAGAAAGTTCTTTAAATCATTCAAATCGGACGCTTAGTTCTCTCAACAACTGCAATTTTTTGCACATTTAGCTGTATCTCCGAAATGGTTCGGCCTGCCTTTGCCAAAAACTAATTACCACTTTTCCCTCATTACTAATTGAATGTTCTTTATATCATTCAAATCGGATGCTCCGTTCTCTCAAAAACTCGATTTCTATTTTCTGCACTCTTTGATCTTTATCTCCGTAACTGCTGGACCTGCCTTTGCCAAAAACTAATCAGCACATCTCCCTATCAATAGAAATCGAATGTTTTTTGAACCATTCAAATCGGTTGATCCGTGCGCCCGAAAACGTGGACGAAAAATTGTATCCATACATACATACACAGCTACACACACACATCCATTTTTTCTGAGTTATGCCCAAACGTTCAGAAACCTTCAAAACGTCGAGAAATGTAAAAATTTTCAATTTCGATTTTCGGCCCATTACAATAACTTACCCTACGGGAAGTTAACAAGAACATGGAAATCAAACAATTCTGTTGATAACCGGAATATATACTAAGTGCATAGTCTACGACATGTATGCTCTTGTCACCTATATTTTTTGCAATAATATTTCGATTGATGAAGATTACTCACCGATAATTTCAGCTTTGAGAACTGCATTGGAATTGACACTGCAAAAACACATCGGTCCTTCTTGCGTAACATTATACACATTATTATCACAAACTAATATTTTTGAACAATTCACAAAATTAAAGATAAATTGCGATTATGTATAAAAACTTATCCAAAAAATATAAATAGATTATTGCGAGTATTAATTTTAGATTACACAGTTTTTTGGATAGACTTGCGAAAATAATGTATTTAAATTTAACACTTATTAACCGTACGCCGAAATTGACACTTTGTAAGCACGACACAGTGACAGCCAAATATAAACAAGTATAACAGTTGGTGACAACAGTTTACGGAAAGAAATAAAAGTTTTTACAACTTTGGCCGACGGGTTGCCAACTCATAATTGAAACATTTAACAAACTTCAAGGCAATGGGAGGGCGCATTTATTTGAAATACAAGTTTTTGCTATTAATTTTAAATATGTTCCAAACAAATATATACAATTGAATTGAGAATTGAATTATAGGAATACAATAAATAGGATATAATAGCATTAAATTATCATACTGGTTTTTCTGAAGATTCTTGTAAATATGATTTTGTCTTCGACATAGTACAATTTTTGGTAAATTTTTATTCATTTATTAAAATGTACTACTTCTATTTTTCAAAATTAATAATAAAATATATTATTAAAAAAAGTGTTTCAATGAATTGCCACGTATTTATCGTATCCACCTCTCTATTTCGACTTATTTTATAGATTTTTCAGTTAGAAATTTTAAAAGTCTTAAAAATCTTATAGCCCTAAAATCCAAAATTCTAATAACAAATGAAATATACAAATTCAGCCCTTGGCACCTAGCTCAGTGCAAAATATTTCCCACTATTTCTCCGTATTCTCGTGTTGTTACTCATAATTGATTTTTATATTTTAGCACCCTCCGAAAAGTATAAAAGTTTTTGAAGGTGAAGAATGTACTTCTATCTTATACCATTTCCATCGAACATACTTGCGCCAATTACCGTTGATCAGAGCATTGTGCGTTCCAAACTATAAACTACGAATTCCTTGGAAGAATGTGCCAGAAAATCAACCCCCACCCGAGAAAAAAACTCCAAAGAAGAAAAAATATTAATTTCAGAATAATGTTTAACTAACGAACCAATTTGAAGAGCTAAAACTGACTGAAAGAATTTGGATTATTCATTTTAAAAAGTGAAATTAAAAAAAATAATATTTAAAAATATTTTAATAGTCACACTTTAAAAACTGATGAACTGAACTCTCATACATAATTGATGTTTTTTTTATTACAAATCTAACAATTATTATAATAATGAACTATATTTAAAATGAATGATGAAACCAAATTTTATAATTGTCTGATGCAACAAATATTTTATAATTTTTTATTATACTCGCAAATTTGTGAAAATAGATTTATAAAAATTTACACAGTGATATAAGTGTCTTTATCCGAATTTTTGTAATCCACTTAAAACTTACAAAAATTCTTACAAAGATTAATCCAGACTGTTTAACAACTGAATAGATTTACACAATTTACACAACAACTGTTACATATGTAACAATATATAAAAAAAGTTGATAAAGAAAAAAAGTGGCACAATAAAAAGAAAATTTTAATTCAGTCTTGAACTCAAATTTCTATTAATTTTTGTTTCCAATCACCGATCAGAATTATTTTCATTTATTATGAGTTGTACATCAATATTTTGATGTTATAAGTAATTTAAATTCACACCTTTAAATTCTTCAATAGTATGTCAATTATATATATATATATAGGTAAGCATCATGTTAAAATTATTTTATTTAATATTTTTTTATATGAAATATAATATATATTTTAGTTAATTAAAATCCATTAATTAAAAGTAAAATGACAACACTTTTTTTCCTCTAAAATTCATTTGCACACAATATAATAAGATCAAGCCACACAATAAATGCTCAAATTTTTATAAATAATTCGTTTAAAATTAAATTTATTTTAGACTCAAATTGTATGATTATTTCTGGTAAAATAAAATGATGTACCTTCATCCTAATTTTTTATCTCCTCATAAACATTGCAGCATGAAAGGCCTCTAAATCAGGCTCAGCAATAGTACTGGCTCTTTTCGGTACATAACCTCTCAATTGACTACTGAAATTAATTTGATTAATACATGATATTAATTTATGTACTTGTTTTTGCCTCGATTGTAAAACTTTTGTATTGATTGAAAAATTGAATAAATTTATGCTCCACTCTTTAAGAGCAAGAAATAAAAATTAGTTTATCAATTATACAAAGAAGCAGCAATGCGAAGAACATACAAGAAAGCATAACATAAAGAATTTAGACTTATTTATTTTCTGTAAAACCAAAAAATGGCAAAACCTTAAAATAATCCTTTGCTACAAGGTAGATCTGAATTTTTCTATATGAGCAAATTAATATTAAATTATTATATATATTTAATTAAAATGGATAATTAAACGTTATTTTTCAATATGATAAGACAATAAATAATTTACCTGGTGGGTTTCAATGCCGGTGCTGTTGGTTTATTACCCTGCCTTGGATTAACTAGCAAACATTTCATAGGCTGACCATCTAGTTGTCGATTGTGATACACATCCACTGCTTGTTGAGCATCAGCCAATGTCTTGAAAATAACTTCAGCAGTTCCCGGTCTAACCAAACGAGATTCCAAAAGTTCTCCCACATCCTCAAATAATTCCTGTAATATAAAGTTTAATTCAAATTTTTAAAAGTTATTTTTAAGACAAGAGGGTTTTTAAAACATATAACAATAAATTATGTGTTTACAATTACACACCTTAATATCCTCTTGGGTAACATTTGCTTGAAGGTTACTAACAACTATCCTATACCCTTGTGGTAAGTTATAACTTTGAACAGGTCTGGACTGCTGTTGAGTTCTACTGCGACTAGGAATTCTGGGAGGGCTTCTTGAGTAATCTTTAGATTCTGACACATACAAAAATACACAAAATGTAATATATATATATATATATATATATATATATATATATATATATATATATACGTGGTCTGTTCAAAAAGTACCCGGAATTTTCGTATATAAATATAAAATATTTATTTATTCGTCTACATTAATGTGGTCCCCTTCGAAGTAGTCCCCCCCAGATATAATACACTTATGCCAGCGTTTTTTCCAATTTTCGAAGCACCCTTGATATTCACTTTTTGATATGTCCTTGAGCACTCTCAGCGATTTTCTTCAATCGAGGAAAACCGCCGTCCTTTCATGGGTCTCTTCAACTTTGGGAATAGGAAAAAGTCACACGGAGCCATATCTGGTGAATTTTTGCACTTTGCAACACTTTATTTCATTTTTTACGCAAAATTTAATACAAATTCTTTGACTTTTCAATTCTTCCATTGTAAAAATCGCCGAGCTCAGAAAAACACGTCGAACCTTAGCGACTACCACAGACAAAGTAAACAGTGAATATAGCTGAAAATTTCATCATACTTTAGGGGCATGTATACCAACATAATAAAAAAAAAATTTTGACAATCAGACACTCCAGACCCGCGAAATTTAATTATTAGTAATTCCGGGTACTTTTTGAACAGACCACGTATATATATATATATATATATATATATATGTTATATATATATATATATATATATATATATATATACATACATATATATAAAATAATAGATAAAATATGAGCAAACCTGATGATAAAATACCCATAGTCCTAACACGCGGTGGACTACAATCTAGTCTTGAATGGACAGAATCAGTTAAATCAATAGTATTAGTTCTAGGAACAAGATGAGCTGAGTTCCATCCTGATATGGCCCTATTTTGTGGTCTTTCTGGTGGAGGTGTCACTTCTCGTAACGATCTATATCTACTTGGTCTTTCATATATTGCATCAACAACATCATCATCAATATCCATGGCTACAGGGCTTTCCATAATATTGCGACTGTAAATTAATTGGAAATAACACTAAATAAAATCACAATGAACATTCAATGTATTAAATCTCATTCTCAGCTAATAATTTTAAAATCAATTAGTTTAAATAAATAAACTATAATAAAGTATCAATAAAAACAGTAGTCACATGAGATGAGAGAAATATTACTGTGTTCATTCATCCATCAAAAATAGTTTCATTTTGAATAATCAGAGATGCATAATTTTACATTTTCACACATTTAAATATGTATGACAAAGAATATATATATATATATATATATATATATATATTAAAAAAAAAAAGAAATATTTATTGATATTAATAGACTTACTTTACAGGTACATTTTGATTAACAGTGATTTTCATGTGCAAATCTTTAGGAATGATGGACTGTGGCTTGCGAATAGTTTTAACATTGCGGCTAATTGAGGAATCCCAAATTGAAGATCGATTGCCAATGTCAGGCAATGGTGGCATCCGAGACATTGCATAATTATTTTTAAATGTCATAGTTATAGGTAAATCTGAAAATGTTTATGTATTTAGATTTTGCACCATAAATATTCTTAAGACTACAAATAATATGTTGTTTGGATATATATCTAAAATATTCATAAATAATGAGCTCAACCTGAGCGAATACAATTGTTCTTCACTGACCATTGTAACGCAGCTGGCTGGCGTACAAAATCTAAAGCATAATCAAATAATTATATGAGGTTATAACATTGCTTTAATTAATAGAATATATATTTAAAATATTGATAAATAAGGAGCTCAACCTGAGAGAATATAATTGTTCTTGATTGATCATTTCAAAACAGTACATATGCGTATATAATTTTCTATATTTTATATTTTTCTAAGAAAACAATAAGAATGGTATAATAGGAAAAATAATAAAAAGTTATTCAATATTTGAATTTTTAAAGAACTACAAGATTTATTGTGAAATATTGAATAGTAGTACAATTGTATGAATTATATTCATGTAGTACTTTAAATATGAATGAAAAACTTCAACAATATTTAAAACAGACAGAAATAAGAATTATTATTTATATACCTGAGGGAATAAGTTCCTTCTTGGCAGGTCGTTGTAAATCAGCTGGTTTCCGTACAAAATCTAAAATATACAATCATATATTACTAATAAATTAAAGTTAATTTTTCCTAATATAACAGTTTGTTAAATTTGACAACATAAAGTGTGAATTACATAAAATCATTATGATTATATTATATAATAATAATTATATTTCTGAACCTTTCACTTATTTTATTCAAAGTTTCAGGGATATGGAATGTACCCTTCGTCAGACACTATTGTTAATGATATTTTTTATTTTTTATTATTCATTTACACACTTAATTATTTAGTGAAAAATAATCTTAATTAATCTAAATAATAATAAGTTTTATCATTAATATATATATATATATATATATATATATATATATATATTCATTTTTGTATGTATACCTCTTTTTGTAGATAAACTAATTTGGCCACTTCTGTTAGTCGATAAGGCAAATCGACCATTTCCAACATTTTGAGGAAGCTGCAATTAATCACTTATATATTCACAAATGCCATAATATATATCAACATAAAATTAACTACTTATTACGTTCTGTTTTCTCAACTTTTGCAGCTTAAGTCTAGCATCAGTTTTTTTAGCAATCTGCGCTAGTTTATCACGAGCATCAACTAATTTTGTTCGATTTTTTTGTATTATCTTCAATCTAGCATCTTTAATATTTGCCTTTGGTACAGACTGAAATGCTCCACGTTTTTTAGGTATTCTATTTTTTCTGTAAATCAAACCAAATGTAATGATATATTACATATATTGCATGTTAAATATTTTTGTTGATATAAAAAGTTGAGAATAAATAAAACAATGAATTGAAGAAAATATCGTGCGCTCAAACGCTTATATATATATATATATATATATATATATATATATATATATATATAATATAATCGGGCGACTACGTTATTGAGTTTATCATTAATGCAGACATTAATACAAAAATACATTAGAAAGTTACCCATTTCGTTTCTGGAAATTTTGCATTTTTTTCTTTTTAATTATTTCTGCTAAACTAATATCCATCGTATTGACTTTTAAATATAACTATTTTATAAATATCAGTAATAGAATAATAAGTTGATTTTAATCTTAACCAAGCACAAATATTTTCGATATGTGTCAAAATTGATTTTTATCTATCAACACCAATGAAGTCATCCCAAAAAAAAAACCGTTAATATCATATGTAATATCCGCTAAAACTAGAAAACAAATTTTGTCATTCAGACCATAGATAAATAAGCATTCAGAGCTCCAGAGGAATAATGAATGATACATTATATACTCTTTTTCATCTATGGGCCGATACACAATTATGTATCGGATATTTTAGCAAATTAAACATTATATTGCCTTTTGCAAATATTTCTTTACAAAAGATTAACGTAACTTATCTGAGAAATAATACGGAATGGGCAAGCTCTCCTCTAGCGAATTTTAAGTGAAACTTGACGACCAACAAATATGGCGGATGACACATTTATGAGTTGAATTTTCTGTCAACTAATATTTGTTTTGATGTAAAACAACACGCCGTTAAATCCCAAAAAGATGTTATTTGCAAAAACACCCCACGGACGTTAAGTTTAGTTTAGTCTAGTTCTCTTTTTATTTTTATTATCTGGATTGTTTTTATCAATTACATAAAGGTTTATTACGTATTTATTTATTATCAATTAATTTTATAAAGATTAATAGAATTATAATAAGAATTTCAATTTAAGGAGTAATACATAGATAAAAGAAGAGTATATAGATCGCTCTCTTGGGGCATATTTCGTTGCCACGTTAACTGTCAACTTGCCGGGGTTAGTTCGAGCTGCTCTCCCTTGGTGCGCACGCGTCGACCGTAGAACGGGTGCGTACAAAAAATACTATAGAAATGCACCAATATTATAGACCGTTTGAATTCAAAATTAAAAAAAAAGAAATTGAATTTTAAAAAGCATTTATTTTTAACAATAGTATTTCACACACATGGTTACAAAAAATTCATCCTTATAAGCTAAACACAAAAGAAATAAAATTGTGTATATACATATACATATATATATATATATATATATATATATATATATATATATATATATATATATATTACTTATAATTACAATTAGATTGCTTATAATTACAATTAGATTAAGATAAATAATTTAAACACATTTCATAATTCGATCTCAATAATAAATAAATAAAAAAAATTGAGAAACTATCGGATCTCTTTCATTATTCGCAAAAATTTGAGAAGCTATCGGATCTTTTTCATTATTCGCAAAAGCAACAAAATTTCTAGAAACTGAAGAGAAAAAAATAATTATTTTCATATAAAAAACAAAATATATATATATTTAAAAATCATTTGCAAAATTAATGCATACGATAATCTTCTCAAGTAACTCAGTTTATATTTTTTTTGAATAATGCTAATTAACAATTAAGTTACTGTTTTGTTTCTAGTAATATTTTCTACGACTAGTGTTGATGTTAATTTGAATGTTAAACAAAATGTCATTATCATCATTAACATAAAAAAGGAAATTATTAATAGTAATGTACAAGTACTTAATAGTTTTCTTATGGCATCTTCAATGACACATTTAAGAATAACATCTCTATCAGAAATAAGGGGTGCACGTTAATGGTGTTTTATTCCTCTAAATAAAAAAAAGAGTGCGCGTAAGGATCACACGCGATTGAAGTAAAACTTATTTGCAATTATATTGTAGCAAATTTAAGTTGAGTAAAAATAAATACATTATATAAAAATTTTGAATAAGGTTTATTAGTAATATGGTAACACTCGTGATGCACACATTTATTAGTGTCGTCAATCATTATACATATTTATATAATGATAAATTATAAATTATATATTTATGATTACATTAAAAATATGTATAATATTTACAAACAATAATGTAATCAAAGACGTACTTGAAATATGACATGATCGTTTTAAAGTAATTGCTGATTAATAAATTCTATAATATTCATTCACACAGTGGATTATGTTAAACAACGCCAAAACAAATATTGTTTTTGCAAATTAATTCATCCTGTAACAATAGTGTTTGAAGAACTTTATGTAATTAAAATTAACATACATTCATTTACTGTTTGTGATTTTTTACTTTTTCGCTGACGATATAATCTCATTCCTTGAACAGCTGTAATATCCGTCTTGCCTAACAAATTGAAGCCATACTTTTATATTTGTTTTATTTATCAAGCCCTGCACATAGCTTGATCTATGTATAGGTGAAATTAACCTTTCAGATACAGTATCTAGTTTAGGTAGATAATTTGGTATAGGTGGAAATACAAACCGGTTAAACTTACACAAAGTGGGAATTTTACCCGAATTTAATATCTTTCGACAAGTTTGACATCCAACCTGATTATTTTATCCAACCTAACCCATGTCGCGCCTAAAGAAGTTTTACTTCAAAAAATGTTCAGAGACTACAAGCTAAATACAAAACTCAAGTGAAAGTCGACACATTTTGTTTTGTTTTTGACATATGATTTGACATTTGATGTATTTTTTGTTTTGCTCGCAGACTAGATCGAATAATTGCGATTGCTGCGCTTACAGCGTCGTAGTCTTCAACTTCACGTTGGCATTTTCGTTGCATTTGTACGGATTTACACCCGTGTCGCGCCTAATGAAGTTTTTACACCCATGTCGCGCCTAAAGAAGTTTTACTTCAAAAGAGATTAGCGAATATATAATTTCTTTCATTTGACAGTTCCTGTCAATCTGTACAATGTAATTATTTTTACGATCATTAAACAACGCAGATAATAATATTCCTGTGTAATATCAAAATTCAACTATCACTACTCACAAACTTTTCGTGGGACATAGCCAAACCTAAATTACCCCTTAGCTAGAATTTTATCATTAAGCATGAATTTCTTACCATTTAACAATTTAGTATTTTCTCCTAGCCGACTTAATATATCATTATGAGTACTATTATTCAATGTCAGTGGGAGATCAGCAAATATTTCAGCATGTTTCAGACTGGCTTGTAATTTCTTTATTAATGTTTTTCCCTGTTTATTCGTCTCATATCAATACTTGTGTTTATTATGTTATTATGTTACTTGTGTTTATCAATACTTGTGTTTCATAACTACTTCCAAGAGAAAAACTGCTGAAAAAAATCAATGTTAAATTATTTATTATGAACCTTTATTATTAGTACAAGAATAATTCTTAAAAACTTACCTATCAGTGAGTTGGTTAGTCTGACGGCAATTTTATCTTTCAATAATTATAACCTTAAAATTCCTAGCATTGCTAAATGTCTCAGTTATTATGCTATAATAAAAACTTATATCACGTAGTAATAGATGCAAGTATTTTGAAGTATGCATATTGATGAATATACTTACTTATTGTTGAAGGCCCGTAAATATTATTAATCATTTTACATACTACATAGGTTTTAGTAGGAAACACTAATTTTGACCAGCCAAATAGCAAACATCTACAACATCCAAAACAATATTTATTTGTGATTAATGTTTGGTTATTTTATTCTTATTACGTACTTTGTCATTTCTCGCTGGAAATACATGCAATTTTGCATTTTTTTGGTATTAGTGCACCCTGGAACGTAACACTTCGACATTTTGCTTTCAAACTAATCCTAATCACTTATAAACGCAACTGAACGTTCTCGAAATTGTTTGATCGCCCGCGTTGAAATTGTTACCCGATGAGTACAAAATCGCTGCAAGAGCGCTCCAAGGGAGAGCAGCTCTAACTAAAATCGAGCTACAGAGTTTTGTTTGGAGATTACCGGCCATGGAGTAATACTTGCATAGATAAAAGAAGAGTGGAAGCTGAGTTCGAAACGTGTTGCATGGATCCAAATAAAACTGTTGACGACTGTCGGCAAGTACATGTGCAGGTTGAAATGGTCTGGCAATTTGATTTTTGAACTTCTCAATGAATAAATTAAATCATATAAAAGTTTGAAGGAACAAGTTTACAGTTCGTCTTTTTTTTACACTTTCAAGCGTCTGGAGAGCATGATGTGCACACTTTGTGAAATGACTATTTGCAATATAAAAACACATCTAAATATTTATTTGGATTTATTGGTTTTTCATGCATAGACAATTATATAATAATGGTTCTTTTCGTCATAACGGAATAATTAAATCAGAATGTAATATTACCAATAAAAAAATATATAAATATTTTTAGTGTTGCATTATTAAATGTATTTATTGTAATACTTATTACTATTTCTTGTGCTATAAAAATATGATCAATAAGCATCTATACTTAGTTGAATTTATCACATGACAAGCATGCAAATCAAAATTATTTTTATTGAATTTTGTTCTAATTTAATTGTGAGCTTTTTTTGTTGAAGAAATTGAATATTTTGGAATTGTGTAATCATATACTAAATTTGCAATAAACTAATGTACCTCAACATTCTGAGGTTATTATAAAATACAAGAGCGTTTATGCCATTAATTTAATAACATCATTCAAAATTAAAAAAAAATACCATTCACACCAAGTACAATTCCATTCATTATGAATTAATTTTTTTAAATTTATTTTACTACTGCTTCTAATCTAATCTCACTTAAAAGTAAATATACTAAATTATACTATTCACAGACATTTTATATATTTTATATTTTATATTATTAAAATTCTGCATATATATGCAAAGTATTGAGTTGTGCAAAGCACTCAATATTTCAGCCTTGATATAATCAAATATTTTTCTACATATTAGAAAGAATAGATTTAGTTGATGTCAAAATTGAGCAATACGTCATTTTCAATTGAAAGTCAATATTGAAAGTTTATCAAGTTAAACTATATGAGCCTAAGTACTCGACCTATACTTATACTTGACGTATTAAAATATTAATACTATTTTGATAGAATTATTACATTGCATCGAAAATAAATTTATAACCATGGGTGCCAAGCAGGATCCATACGACACAAATTATTGAAATTGGTGGCAGCAGTAACAAGTGTGCTGACTTTACTATCAATTCCTTCATAAGTTGCAATGCTATTTAGTCGAGATGTTATAGATTTAACTACGCCAACGGTTAAAATGATGTATTGCTCTGAATCATTCACAGAGTTGTCAGTTGCTTTCTCTTGTTGATTCAGAGACTGTGCTTCACGAGTTTCATCCATACCTTTGTTTCTTTCTTGAATTATTTTATTATCTTCACGTCTTTTATATGCTGTTATAATTTCGTCACGTAATATTGTTTTTAGAATTGTTTGTACCTGTATTGAATGTTTGTTATTAGTTTTTTTAAACTTATATAATTATTTTTTGTAAGTTTCATTAGTTTACTACCTTAAATGTAGGATGAGTCAAACATCTTGCTACAGATATCATGGATGCAGTCAGTGGTCCAGTAATTCCAAAATTTGAAACAAATTCAACAACATTTGGTGTTAGTCTAAATGGAACTGGCCTGTTACTAAGAAGTTCGCCTAAAAAGTTAAGTTTTAGACAATTAATTAGTATATTTATATTATATAAAACTTCGGAATAAAAAAATTATTATGTTTATTGGAATTAAATATATATTTTAATCTGTTTTCAACGATATTAATGAAACAATCAGATTAAAATTTAATTCTTATTCTCAAAAATTTTGTCACTTATATTGGTTTTATCAATTAAATAGATTATGATAGAAATTTTAATTCTTAATTAGCACTTACAATTAGTTTCGTCAATATCAAATTTATAATAAGCAATATTCATTAAGCCAGAATCTTGATGTATGTACATCATATCAGGATTCAATCTGGTCAGATGAAGAACATACTCCGCAAAACAGGATAGCGCCAATTGTAATGTAAACTAAAAATAATGATATTTAATAATGATTCAAACAAAACACACCCAATGCACAAAATATATTAATTTAAATACCATTTTTCGGAAAGACCAATAATCCGTAGCATTTGGAAATGTTTTCAAAGCCCAATGCTTCAGCAAAGTTCTAGGAGCCATGGAATTTTGCACTTCTTGAAAAACATCCCTAAGAATTTCATAGCATATTTGCGAACCCCTTGCTTGAACAGATGCCAATCTTTCATAATATCGCGCTACTGGTGCTTCATGCTCAATAGCCAATGTAGTAGCACAACCTAAAAAATGACACCACATAATCAGGTCTTAGCTTTATTTTATAAAATAAATATCATGATCTGAAAATTCATATTTTTAAATTATTTTTCATATTATAAACAATTCATTTATTAATATACATTTTATTTAAAAAAAAAAAAACAAACAAATTCAAAATTCCCAAAAATGATTAAAATTTTCAGAAACATACAAAATCTTTATAACTTTGCAATTCAAACATTTCTTTTATGTTCAGAATAATTTATTTTTAATTTTTTATGAAGTAAATTGCAGATAAGTTAAGGGGGGCGATACATGTAATCGCCTTAATTTTTACCATTTTTTGAGGACTTTTTAAACTGGGAAGGAATGACTGAATCTTTTTGAACTTTTTTAGGGTTATTTATTATATATTAAAATACACAAAAAAAATTTTTTTCATTTTTTTTTTTTAAATGGCTGCCGTAAAAATAAATCTGCCAAGACCCTCTCGGAAAACGCCATCAATTTGCGGGCGTTCTCACTTTTCGTACGGTGATTTGAAATCAAAAAAATTAGTTTGTACGTGTTCATAAAACATATATCTTCTAGTTAAACCAAAAAAAAATTAAAAAAGTCACAAAATCGTAAATTGGCACACCTCAGAAAAAAAAGTTCGATTTTTCACCTTTTTTTCAATGGTTTTTTTTGGTAAAAGGGTTAATTTTTAAAAAATTTTTTGGAATGTTTGAGGTTTAACTAGAAGCTATTACTGTAAAGTAGATGTGTGCAAAATTTAATTGGAATCGGTTGAGAACTTTTTGAGTTATCCCGCCCGCAAATTTCAAAAATGTCGTTTTGAGAAAAACGCGTTTAAAGTTTTGGCACAGAAACAGATAAGAGTACAATAGCACTCAAGCGTCGAGTTGAGGCGTGGCACTTAAATGAGTTTTTATTGTATAAATAATGATAATTTTGTTTTGAATATTTACAGGCATATTTTTGAGATGTTATTGTAAGGATTTATAAAAAAAAAAAATCGATTTTTTTTTCTTGTTACATGTATCGCCCCCCTTAAGAAATTGATGCGATTTATATACATGTCTTACTTTTTTTGTATATATCTAGTAGTGACAACGATGCAGGATTATCTTCTACCAAACGAATCTGTGGTGAAACAGCAACAACTTTCGGAATAGTGAAATGTAAAAATCTTTTTGAAGTCTCCTACAAATATATAAAAAAAAATCCTTTGCAACTTTATATACATCATTCAAATATAATATATAAATATTAGTGCAACTATTTAATATATAAAGTAGCTTTAAACTTAAACAATTATGATTTATAATTTTAGATTAGCTAAATACGCCTAACATATTGTTTTTCATATACATACAGCTCTACAGTCTTATGTTACTGTTACCTTTTGTTTTCCGAGGTAATGATTTAACATTCTTAGCAATTGTAGTACTCGTTCCTCTCTTCTAGTATCACCAAAACATAAATAATTCACAACCAGGTACGGGTAAATTTTTCCATTATGTCCTCTAATAAAAAGTCTTCGAGCTGCAGCATTATGTTTCTGAACTATTTCAACACGTGGCATGAAGCGCGCGATCCGAACATAATAATGTGAATTTCTTGGTAACAAAAACTCTCCTGGTAACTCTACTTCAGCTGTCTTCAATGAAAAGTTGGACAAAAAGCGGCATTTCTCTTCTATTAAAAATGACCTATATTAATTTAAATTTGATTAATAATGACTATGTACCATAGTTTTGTTTGTTTATTTTCTGACTAAGATCACGTTCTTGACAGGAACACACATAGTTCCAAAATGCCGACAATAAACAGTAATTAGAAAAAAAGGTTTTTTATTACTATTCAAAGGTCAATACAACATATACAAATCCAAGTAATGCTATTAATTTCATACTACACTCACTTTGGCAATAATTTGGTTTTGGCTTCTAAAATTTTAATCCATTTCTTGAATTTTCCAATCAGATTGTGTAATCTCATGGCATTTGGCTGACTAAAATCAAAATCTTTTTTAAACTGATCTTTCATCTTCTGAAATACGGGATCTTGCTTAGTTGCTTCGGCTCTTCTAGCTAGACATTCTGAGGCTGCTGTCGGGAATTTTGCATGAGTTGAACTTGAGATATGCTCTATAAATAATTGAATTTGTTATTGTTAATTCGAATATGAACAAAAACAGTTTATCAGAGCATTAAAGAATAATTGTATAGTAATTGACATATATAGTTATATCTAAATATAAACATAAATACAGAAGAATAAACATAAGTAAAAAGCGCACTCAATCTTATACATATACAAAATATATATATATATATATATATATATATATATATATATATATTAATATATATTCAAAATTATGTGTACCAATTCCAGTTCCAAATGTTGCTGCAAGCTTTTCTACGAAATTTACTGTGTGAGGCGTGATTCGAGCTTTACCCACAGCAGCACGGTTCTCAAAAGCTACTGCATGACACTTGGCAAGCCCTTGGCGTAAATGTCGTAAGACTTCTTCATAACCATTCTCTCGGAACCAATCCATCTAAATTTTTAATTCACAATGATTAAAAAAATCACAAAGATTTCCATAATTCAAATATTCAAAAATATGTACTGGTATATATATATATATATATAT